TGTTGGGGATGTCAGTATCCCCAAAAACTGCTTATTTTCCGAGTTATTGCCAGTTTATTTTCAAAAAGTTTTGAATTTTTAAATTTCGCGCCTTTTCCGCAATGTTGCACCTCAATCCGTAAAGACCGCGCTCTTTTCCTATTGGCCAGCTATACTTTGTGTGCATTAACTGACTTTTCGCTCTCCAAGGTCGCTCGAAATATATATACATATACGACGTTGCTCCCACTGTAATTCGCCTTTGGTTGAGGTAGTAAAAGCCCTCTTCTGAAGGTCTGTTCTTCTTCTCTGTCTGCGCTAGAAGTGGTTGGGCTCGCGTCATAGCTGGGGAGTTGTGCGCTCATTCTCAGGTCGCGTATATTCGTTCATCGTACCCGATTCTGATACATATCAAATGTGCAAACCATACTCGTGTATGAACCAAGCGGTAAGCCCGGATTGCAACTCCCAGCCTGTCGGCGTGGTGCATGAACCTTTCCGATGGCCTGCATGCATTCTCAGGACGGTCCCATTTCCGAAATTTTGTATCCAACGCTACGCACGAATGGCCCATTTTCGACTGACGTGCAGCCAGTGGGCAGTTAGATAGAAGGCACAGCCATGATTGGTTCCGTACAATCGAATCCTGGGGAAATCTACGTGATTATTACCCAGTAGAAGTAGCTTACTCTGCGTCGTTCTCCTAGCGGACCATGCAATTTTCATTGATTCAAAATTTTGGGTTGAAGGTTTACAAATTGGAAATAAAACTATCGTGCCCCGGGACAATTGTCGTGAGTAAAAATGGGATTACACAATGTTCCAGCCTAATGCAGCTTTGCTAAGCCGCAGCTGCGACGTAATCTTATCCGCGGTGAAGATTATGGCTGAATACTGTCGACCCTCATAGCTGTGAACAAGCGGAAAAGCTCGGGTGAAGGCTTAAATGCGTTCCGTCGACGAGGGCATGTATGACCGGCCTCCCGATTCCCGTGTCAACGGCAACAACGCATGTGTGTGTACCTAAACAGTAATTCCAATGCTCTAAACGAAATCACCCACGATGATTCATACCATATGTAGTGTCAAAGTTTCCGAACTGCGGAAGGCGTCGAGCTGTAGTGGTTCGCTCCGTAAGGGAAAAATATAGATTGTTGAAACTAACACCGTCGGGTTCCTACACCAGTGCACGACCCCACTCGCAAAGTTTTGACACAACCGACGACACGTCAACCACCTTATAAAAATGCGGTAATAGACACTTAAAAATGGATGTCAGCACTTAACTAGATAGTTGTAGATATCCCGGGTGATCAACAAATTCTATAACGCAATAAAACACTCAAAGACGGAGCCCGTACAAATCAAACGGACGACTCTTCTTTACTCCGTCGCATGTTAAATTGAGAACCATTCAAAAATAAACTTGATAACTGGGTGGCTGAACTACAGACTGAAAAAATGACCATCGAGCAGTAAGCAAGCTGCCGAGGATAAATATTCTTCAGGCACTCAGGAAAGCTTGTGCTCTGGGTAAAAATCTTGATTTTACGAAGGTCGCGGATTGAAGTTCCCTTTCGAGTTAACGGGTAAAAACCGCGAAATTACCGTTCGCATGCTCTTCCGAAAAAAATTGGAGTGAAATGAAAGGACGAAAGTAAAGATTTTAACTCTAGAAGATCTCATACCGCCTTCATACCGAAGTCACGCGGAGCCACGGCAACCAGTGAAATTATGAACTCCGTGCCCACAGTAGACCCTGAGCACCTCGAAACAATTTTAAAGAGAACTACGACTGCACTGGAAGACTTTAAGTTTTTCAATCAATTCCCCATGATGCTACAACTGTGTTAAATTTTCATTCGTTTAGGGGGAATGTAACTTATGCTCCTAGGCATGGGCTAAGTAAGCACACAGACAGTTCCGAAGTTGAAATTCCAACAAAAATATGCAGCGGACTTGAGACCTCATTGGCGTGTTGGATCAAATAAACTAGCAAAGTAACAAAAGCACACTAAGAATGGAATAATGAATCGATAAGTACTGACGAATGCGTAGATCCAAAGTTCCACTACACCGATTCCAATGCAGTAACCGGCTGTGAAGGAATTATCCACCTGTAGAAATTTTCCACTGATGATTCACATGTGATGGTATGTTCCACCACAGGAAAGTTTTTCGCAGTTAAAAGATGTCACAGGGAGTTAATGTGACGTTCAGCAGCTCACACAAACACAGAGATCTAGTTCCACTGGTTCAACAGTAAGCAAATACAAGCAGTTCAGCGAAAATCTACTGATTAAGCAAGTAGTTAGCAGCTCGCGCCGAAAATTTGTGTATTGGTACCATTCTTCTCTTAATGAAATTATTGGCACAATAAAACAAACGTCATGATGAAATATTTACAACAGTTACACAACGTAGTTTAAGTTCAGAAAAATGGTAATTGAATGTGACAACGGATTGAAGACACTACAAATACCCTTTTACGGCAGTATAATCAAGCTTCGCCTGAGGCAATAATGATTTCGGGCATTTCGGCTGCGTACGGACATGCCCCCTCTCAGCATAGAATCGCTATTTCTGAAAGCTACAGTATTGAGTTCGAGTTGACGGAGAAAGGCTACCATTAAATTTATTCCCACATAACCAAAACAGCAAAACTATAATGGTCCTCTTGCTGCTAGTCGGGGTATGGTCATTTTACCGCTCAGGGTTGTTTCCATTTTACGAAGTGACAGGATTCACCACATTTTATATTTGGAGGGGTTCAGCGCCTGTCGATTTTCCTGTGGAACTAATGCGTACATCTCTTAACCGAATTCTACCGTCCGGCTTTTACCCACCCACCCAACTTAGAATTGAGAGCACGGATTCACGGAGTGATACACAGGATCGAGGCTTTTGCCCGAGTTTCCCGGGTCGGTTTTGTTCTTGTCGGTCAGTGGCTGTCGTTCACCTGAAAGGCACAAGTGAAAAAAGGGTGTAGCACTGCTCTTTATGTTCTGAGCGCGGGGCAGCATGCTTGCCAGTGCTGGATTTGTATGCTTTGAACTGGGTTCTAGAAGGAGCGTGTACAACCGTCGGAGGAAGGTCATTCCACGCAGCTACTACCCGAAATGAAAAAAAAGTTTTGTCTAATGAATGTGTGTGCCCTGAGCTTGAAAATTTTCTTACTATGTCCTCGCCGGGTGTTTGCTGGGTCAACGGTAAAAAACCTGTTTGCCAAGCTTTGTTCACTAGGGAATGATTTCTCATCCGGGTCTTCTAGCCACTACCTCATCCTGATGCTCACTTGACGGAAATGAAGTCATATCAAATATTGGAAGGTGGGATTTATTGCTACTGCAAAACTCCAGGAAGCCGGCTAACCTGTTTAACTGCATAAGCAAGCGTGCACTTTTAGTGCACCACATGATATTTTATTCAACACCGCGCGGTAAGAATGACCAGTCGGTCTCTAACGTAGCTGGGATTTCAGTTCAAATGGGTGAGTTAATGTTGCGTCTTACGTATCTATATTAATACCGAAATGAAGTCAGGTGACTGTAGCTCCAGAGCTGATTTTTTGTTGGCTTGTTCGCTTAAGCAGTCGGCAAACTGTTGGGATGGCATACGTGGTGAAAATCCCCACAAAACAGCATAGTTTTAGTGGAATTGGCCCCAAAAAGATCGGATGATATATAAGGTATTTGGGGTTAGGCCGCAAAAATTAACAGGAAACAAAATAGGAAATAAGGAATAGTTTGGTCTCATTTTGATTTTAGGAGTGGTGTCCGTGTATACCTTAGTCCCAACAGATCACAGATGCATCAGCACAGCAAGCGGCACCCGGGCCGAGTACCTTCGGATGACAGTAGGAAATCGACTTGTCATTCGTTCAATCATCAGGTTGGCAACCGTTGAAGGATCCTTTGTCGAACCCCCAAACACCTTTCTGTTGGTTTCATGTTACACATGGCAGCGAACCACCAAGGCCGGGTTCTGTTTGTGTGTGTAGTAAATACTTCGGTTTAAAATCTGCAGTTCGAGTTATCTCTGGTTAAGACGCGGACGCGGACCCAATCCCAGAACTTTAAAAGCCTCTCTAGACTACGGTAATCTGTCAGTGTGTCAGCACTCATGCTTCGTATTGGTAACGTTGCAGCTAGGTACCAAAAGGATGTTGGCCGAACGGCTTATTTATGCGGAGCTCCTAAGCTTCAGGCGGTTTCTAGAGGTGTACCCGCTACACAGCCAGCATTTCGCTACCAAGGTCCTGCGTGCGCTACGCGATGATAGCTTCTGGGTGAAGTAAATTGGAGGCCATTCAGTTAGAACAAAAGAAGTTGAGTGTATGTGATATGAGCTATGCCCAAGACATCTGGTTCATTGACCACAGAATCCTCAGCGTTTAATTAGAGAGCGATGCATCAGAGAAACAAGCAACCGCTGAATTGCCGTGGGGATAAGGTGCATTTTGCTTAAAAAAAGGCGCAGCTATTGTCGGGTGCTGATTGTACCGTAGCGAAACCGCAGGAACGTCTGGCGCCTAGTTAGGTCTAATAAGCAAGTACGTTGTGAAGAAACGGCACCAAGTTTGAATGCACATTAAGATGCAGAAAAATCGGCATACAGGGCAGGTAACGTGAGCCTGCCTAATTTGGTGATGATACCGCTACGCGTTCATCTGATCCATAGGCTTACCTCCACAGCAGAAATTTTCACTGAGCGGCCAAGTTTCTTCAGTCTTGTTTTTGGCGGGAGTTTCTCGTTTCGAAATTCGCAATGCTTGTATTAGCCGAACATTCTAACTAGCATGACTTCCGAGTTCAGGAAAACAAACTGTGGATCACGTAAGCAATATTAGGCACGTCAGTGAAATGACGTTTGTGAAGCAGTTTGTGGCAATCCTACTGGGCCGACAATCCAGTCAAACGAGTATTGATAAATTGTGGTGCACACAGATCTTAGGATTTTACTGGTGAACAGGATGCACTAATCCGAGTATCGTTGGTGCTGCCAAAATACGTCCACTGCAATTAGAACCTTGAAACGAGCACCAATTTACCAGCTCGCGCGTGCAATGCGCAGCTACCTACCCCCTCTCCCGCAAATCATCGGTGAACGAAACTGCGGCAGATACAACCAGTGTACGACGAGTACGCGGTTCTTATAGCTGACAATGATGATGACGATGAACACTTCGAACTCTGGGCGCGAATCACATCCCGGAGGACTGGATGTAGGGTTCGTGCTTTCTGGTCTTTACCAAAAATGAGAACAATGAATGCATTATTTATTATTTTATTATTATTATTTACTGACCGGAAGGTCCGTGGTTCGAACCCGACCTCTGCCTCTCAACTTCTTTCTAGGCTTGGGCAACCTGACAGTATCCCAGCCCTCGTGCTTCCTTCAGGTAGCATGGCAGTTAGGCACCGGAAGTGTGCTACAGCTGAACGATATATATATATATATATATATATATATATATCCAGGTTGACGTAAATACAATTGCAGGTCTGAAAGACGGTGTTTCAGAGATTTCCGGGGCTCGATCCAATAACTCAATGACGGAAAGAAACAAAATCGGAGAGAGTACACAGGCTTTGCGGATACCAATGCTTGTAGGAGAGCTTTCGGAAAGCTCCCGATACATTATTACGTACCCAAAAGTGTGTGAATACTAACAGCGCGTGATTTTCAGTCTTCTGGGTCATATACTGTTGAGCAAGCACTTGAATAGAACGAAACGGTTAGGAAAATCGGGCGCACACCTATAAGCATGTCATAGCTTTAACACGTGGCAGTCTGAAGATGTGGCTCAGAGGGCATCTTGCCAGCCGGAATCCTACCTGCTGTTCTCGGGGTCCGTCTTCACGCTTCTTCATAGAACGACGTAAAATAAGCGACGCTAACAGCTTAGTTACAACGAAGGTCAAGCTAGTTTGTGCCTGAAACGCACTGCGAGCATCCTTTTTTAGAAACTGACACTATCGTAAACTCACCTTAGTTGATTGGGACGGTCTCTTTCATCCAGATAGAGACAAATAAGTTAGGTATGCGCCGACCGAGGATTTCGCCCCTATCTTCAAACAGAATGGATATAAATTCATGTTGTAGACGCTCAGGAGCTTAGAAGTACTTCCTTATTTGCGAAGCCGTCAGGAGCTCCAAGCTCACCGTCCAGGACTGCATTGGAGGTCGGAAATCCAGGAATCTCCTACAGGTAGCCTTTCCAATCATTTTTGAAATTGTTCAACCGAACGAACGGTTCAGGAACAGACGATCGTTTTTATCAGTGATTGTTCTTCTCATCCAAGCTCTCTTTGGGCCTCTTCCATCTACCAGCTGGAGTGACTTAAACGCATTCCCAGGGCTTCTCGGTTGCTCCACCTCCTCAGGTTTCAGGACCTACGTTCAAGTTCTCAATCCGAATACATGCTCTTTCAGTGCAACTCAATTTATCAGTTACAAACGTATACCACAGGCATATTGGTTCCAGCGGCTACAGTTTCGATCACCAGAAAATGGGAGGGCGGGAAATGTGGCCAAGCCTTGGAAGCAATGGCATGCTCAGTTAGTTCAGGAAGTGGGAATGGACACACTGAAGGCAAAGGATTTGATGCATTAGCGCCACTAACAGCGCGATTGGGCGATTTCCGTTAATGTCATTAAACATCGGTGAGTTCAGTATCGGGAGACGACAGCGGTCGACCCGAATAACTTCATCCAATATCAGGTTCGCAGGACTGCACTCTCAACGGTGAGCTTCGAGCAACAGAAGAGCGTGGCTGGAATCTAGCTCACATCCCGTGTGACTGCGGACAGTTTCTTCCAGTGACTCTACGTCAGACCTGGCGTCCGAAAGGAACTTCAATGTGTGGTTCTCGTAGGTTTGTTGGGGTTTGTTGGTAGGTTTGTTGCCTGACAAGTAGGCTTCAAGGGCATTGGGCTCACCGGAGAGGTGGGGGGGGGTGAAAAAAAGAAGGGCCATTCTTTGGCATGATTGCCGGTGCGTGTTACCATGATAAAACTATTGCCTTGAAACAAATGAATAATCTACGAATATCACCGAATGTCACAATCAGCGAGATGACTCAGTGATTAGAGTGCGGATTTACTGACCGGGAGGTTCTTGGGTTCAAACCCGACCATCATCATCATCATCATCATCAATGACAGCAACATACATCGCACTGATGCTTCACTGCCGTACAACCATAAAGTTCGTTTATATATATATATATATATATATATATATATATGCATTAAAAGCCCTACAGAGAAGAGAAGAGAAAAAGAGTGGGTGAGGGAGAGGACCTAGTGCTGGCCTATGTCAAGCATACTGAGGTGCCTACACCTCCAACCGCTCAATCAGACAATCTGGAAAGAAAC